CGGTCGACCACCGCACCAAGCGCGGTCGACTACGACCAGATACTGAACAGAACTCATCCTCGTGCACGTTGACGGTCGACCGTCGCGCCACACGCGGTCGACCGCACAGCACCCAAACCTGTTCCTGCGGTTTTCGTCACTATGCTCGCCATTTCTTCAGCCTTTATCTAGAAATTTGGAGTCGACTATAATAACCAAATTCTTTTATTCAGTTATCTAAGGGCTACTCCTACTGTAACTTGACCACTTTCTTATCTTTCTTAATTGCTTCCGACAAACTTCTCAAGCCTAGCTCATAGCACATGCAAGCAACTTTACTAAAAATGCACCAGCTAGAAATTTGTCACTTGACTGGGATACTTCTTTAGGATGCAGAGCGGTATCAAATATGCTTCAATAGTGGCACAACAACATTGGGTGAACAAACCATTAATAAGCTGGCTGGTTGCATTACTTGCGTATGTAAGTGGTCAGGAAGTAAATAAGACAGTTCAGAAGGATAAGGAAGCGCAAAAGTTTCTACTATCAACACTGCTTTAGAAGTTGGTAATCTTGATTAATGATAAAAAGAGTTAGCTTTAAGATAATGATAACTAAATGGTGGAATCATCTATGAGAATTAAAAAAACATAAAATCCCTTGTGAAATAAAATGAATTGTGTCAAAATAAACCTTGTACTTCTTGATCTTGTTGCCCAGGAAACAAGGACTGCTCTTCTTGTTTAGCTTCTTCCATTAGCCTTATCAAGGATCTGCTTCCACTTTTATGCGCTTCATCTAATGGTGTAGTTCCCCACCTGTAACATGTAACAAATAACAATTTTAGTAATATGGTATTGTAGATTGAAACACAGTGCTCTCTAGAGTTTGATGATGTTGATTAGAGGATAATTTAATACAAACACAACCAGATGTGTGTATGTATATAAACATGCCCACACCCATTCAACCACCCACCAGCAGAGACACTACACACTACGTACACTACAGACGCACACGCGCATAACCACCCGTCCACCCCTCACCCACCCATACACACAGAAACACAGATGCAGACACACATACACCACACACACATATGCATGCGTGCGTGCGGAATTATAAACTTCTGATCAAATAGTATTCATGGGTATGTTATAAAATGTGACCAAGACACCAAATTATGGGCACTGGTTAGACCATGTTTGACAAACCTTATTTTGAAACCTTGGAAGTAAACATCATATGTAAGAGCGCAAAATAGTGTATTCAAAAAGTGAACCTCCTTATAAGGCTCCAAAATAATAATAATAATAATAATAATAATAATAATAATAATAATGAATTTAAAATCTCAACCTACTATTTTCCTACTTATAAGTAAAAAGTAAGTAATATGTAAACTTTTACCAAACATGATCTTGGATCCATATTAAGGAAAAATACACTTATAAATTACAGTGAACGAGTTCCCAAACATTTGCTTGCTCTTGTTTATATACCTTTTTTCAAAGCAACAGTTTACGTGTGTCCAATTTTGGATATGAGTAGATCCTTATATCATAATATGGAGATAGATCTCATTTCATTTAAATACATCTGTTAAGTTATTTATGTCATTTGTATTCCACACCACCACACTTATATATGTGGTCACTTTAAGAAATTATGAAACACAATTTAAGTACACAGCCTGCAAATTTCTTCTAAACACTAACTGAAAGTATGAGAGCAGTTGGTTTCAATTAGTAGGTGCTTACTGAAAGTTTGACCTGTTTTACTAAATAACCTCGAACGTGTATTCAAGTTTGCCAGTCTCGATCAAACTCAACACTGGTTAATTTAAATGATTATTCAAACACGAGCTGTTTGTAAATTCCTTAGGCTATTCATTTTCTTGTCAAAGAGGTCCTTCAGAATGGGTGCTATAGTTTAGGGTATTCCTTTTCTTGTTAAGAGGCCCTTCAGAATGGGTGCTATAGTTTGTTAACGTCGATTATGGATAGGCTGCCAGGTGTTATAAATGGGAGTTTTTCTCTCTAAAACTGCAGTATACTGTGATTTCCCCTTCTAGAAAATATGCTGACATCTCCAATATGCAGGACTAAAGAAAAACTGGCATGTGACATGCAAGTCAAATTCATTCTGACACTTACAAATGTGTGCAATGTTATTCACCCGTAAGATAGGTGTAAGATGAAATATGTTATGCTCTTCTTTTGTTAAAAACCAAACGTACCATTTTACTAAAATTAGGTTCTTTTCCACGTGAATAACAACCTAATATATGTACATGTTTTTACATGGATCAAGTTACATATATTCAACTATTCAACAAATATGTATATATAGGTGCGTTCTCATCCCTAGATTTGGATATTTTGAGCTGCTGAAACTTATCTTGCTGAATACATAATACTAGTTGTGTTTACAGATTTAGGTGAATGCGAAAATAAATATTACACTTTCTGGTTAAAGACTGGAGATTAAGACATTTCTACTATCGTTGCACAAACATAACGCAATCGTATTTGACAAAGCCATTTCCTTTCTCCGTTTGTTGAATAACCATTTTAGAAATCTTCTTTTGCAAGTTATATCAGATTGCTTCAGTAACATATACTCCACATTAGCACCTAAGCTAAAACAGTTTTGGAGTTCATATATGATATGCTAAAGAAACAACAAAGTCATGATACAGACAGTCACTAAGAGTTTGGATATCGAACCTGTCCTTGGCAAAAACACTAGCTCCATTCTCTAGAAGTATTTTTGCTATCACAAATATGCCCTCTGCAGCAGCAATGTGCAGAGGTGTACGGTGATCATAATCTTTTGAGTTTGGATTGATGCCATAAGATAAAACTCTCTTTAGAAAATCTGAGTCCCCCTTTGCAACAGCAGCACAAAGTTGGCTACCAGCATCACTGAGGTTTAAGTTTGCTCCATGTTTGAAGAGTAAGGAAGCCATTTCGTCATGTCCGTTTTTGATAGCCTCTAATAGCGCAGTGTTCCCAAATTTATCTAATAGAAACAAGCATACAGATCAATACAAATATCAAGATTCATGATAAGATGAAAAGGCCTTGTAAGTGTTATATACTACAAATTCAAGAGAACGTTGAAGATCCAAGATGAAGCCAGAGTTTGAGTGCCAAAAGAATGGCACCTAAAACATTAATGTCCACCCCTTCATGAATAAGGAATGAAGTGATATCTTCATATCCTCCTGATGCCGCAAGATGCTGAAATGAAAATGAGAATTTATTTCAAAGTGATAACTTTTGCAATTTAAATAAATATCGACTACTGCAAGGTGGAGACATACCCTTGCTTGAACACCTGGTTATATATTCATAAATAATATTTGTAAGAGAATGCAAGCCTATATTGAAGTCTGGTATGATGCAGGTTAGGTCATAATAGCCAAGTAATTGGCAAGCAGAAATCGGATAAACAATTGACACCTCTAGCTTTAAAGAACTTTTACAGGTCATACGAAAATTTGGTTCAATGTAACTATGATCAGTAAAGAAAATATCCAAGAAGTGCATGTTAAAATGGATAGAAAGATTCATGAAGGTAAAGAGCTTTAATATTTTTACAGAAGACAATGATTTTATTTCTCTTTCCTTCGATCTAGAAAAAGATTGCTCCCAATGTTAACTGCTGTGAATTGGAGTTGGTCTAAGTTGCATGGAAATAGGTACAAGTACAAGTGCCGGCACGGGTATAGGACACAGAAAATTTGTAAAAAAGGCAAGGTACGAGGACACGACAATATAAATATTTATTATACACATACATGTATTATAATAGTGAAATTAATGATTTACATGAGATCGATATTGTTTTTCGTTCACATGTTATGATAATTATTCATATAATAATTTTTATGTTTCTTTTATTATGTGGTTTATAAATTGGAAAACAATCATTTTTGAACTAGAGACCCAAATGACCCTTTAAAATTATAAGGCCTATATCCAACGAGTTTTAGGAAGTGGACGTGAAGTATAGGATGTGTGTCCAAGAAGTGTATGAAAAGTGTTTTAACTTAAACATATATTGCATAAGTGAGTATATTCCCGAATAAATGTATTCATATATGCAAGGAGTGTCCGAGGAATTTGGGTATGGACACAGGTACGGGTACTTATACGTCTCAGGTACAGGTGCGTGTCGTGTATACGGCTTCATTTACGAGTACGCATGAAACATAGAAGTTGGTAAATTTCGTTAAATCATAAACCTTTAACTTTTTCTTAATGAAGGCAAAAGAAACCTAAAATATACCAGCAGAAAGCATCACACATTCTTTAAAGCATACATGTAAGATGATTAAATTAATGACAGATGATTGAAAACTGTACTCTATCAAAATCATACCAAAGGAGTTCGCCCATCATAATCACTCTTCTTAGGGTCTGCCCCAGCTCGAATCAAACCCTTCAGGTGATCCAAATCTCCGTGAAAAGCAGCACTATTTACTCGTAATGCAAGCTCAGCTTCTTGCTTCCCAATATGGATTATGATATCGGATTCAAGTTGCTTGACACGAATGTTGGATTCATTACTCTGTGAGGAAGAAAGAGATCATCTAAGTATTGCAACTGGATACAGATAAAACAAAATTGCTCAGAGGCATCCAAGAAAAGTATATAACTCCAAACTTCATATAGAAGATACCTCCAAAAGATTGCTTAGGACTCTTCGTCCATCAACAAAGTATATCTGAATGATATTTGATAAAAGCTGCTTATCAATACGCAAGAGTCTGCATAGTTCACACACACGTACAGTATAGGGCTGAGGAATGTTGCAAAGAACGGAAATATCTCCAAATGAGCAACTGGGCTCTAACATTAGAATAGTCTCCTCTGTTCCATCTTCACAAATCCCAATAGCTTCCTTCAATGAATAATTAATGAAACACATGAATAGATTTAATGAACAGTATCTTGAATCTTGATTAAGCATCCTTAAAGCAATAATTTGGAGCAAGAAAGAACTAATGGTAACACAAACAAAAACTGACAACTAAATCCACACACACATTGTTCTAAATAACCTCGAAACAACTTATGCATGCATAAATGTCATAAAAATATGTCTTGGTGTATGTAGTTATATTATGTGTAATTACCTATACAGAATAATCTAGTATAGAAGCGTATGGTACATGCCAAACATGAAATATGTAGATTTAGTTGATAAAACAAAGAGAGATGAGGGGCTCTCTATGTACGCTCTCTATGTACTTCATATGCAGTGACAAGATTGCACAGTGTAGAATTCATTGGGTTCAACTCAATCCAGGTTAAAGATACTTAAAAATGCAGTATATTATATGAGCCAAGACATACAATGTATCTTTTTAAATCTTTACAGATTTTATAATATCCGTTGCGATTATGTTGCCTTCTTGACCCTGTTGTTGAAAAACAAATGAGCCCTGTTGTTGAAAAACAAATGAGCATTTCCTAGTCTTCACTAATGAATACGAAGTAATAATGTATATAATTTTTTTCTTATTCAGATATGGCGACAAATTTTCAAGCCCTTTAATGCGCATGTATTTTTAGTTGAACCTTTTCACATATGCCATTTGAATGTTGTATAGTATGTTGTTGGCCTTCTTGTTTTAATGATAATTTAACAAACAATTTACGACTAATATTGGTTTTAGTATTTTGTTTTGTGTTGTTTAGTATACACAGGAAATTGAGCAACATTGATATTAAAGCCTATGCAAATCAAGTCAATCAATCAAAGTTCAAGCTTCAGAAGATTCATTCTTGGTATACTTAGTACAGGATGATATAATGTGTGCAAATTCTACAAGCACAAATATACACACACTTTTCATTTGTGAATTTTCTCAAATATAGGTGTTTTTATGAAAAATATGTTTTAATATGCTTTGGACTATACAAACATTATTAACATCTTTTATTATGTCCATATAAACATTACACAAGTTTTTAAAACTTGATTTGAGCTAACTGTCAAAATCAACATGTTTAAAACACATGTATTTTTAGTGCTTTTGAATTTTTCTGAGATTTCACAAATGATAAGAGAAAATTGAAAAATTCCTTTTCCAACATGTTCATAATCATGTTTATAAACTTTTCTCAAAGTTTTATATTTTTTATAATTTATTTGCTATTTTTAAAATAACTTTAAAATTCGTTTTCAAAAATCAATACAAGCTGAAAACATGTTATCAGTCGACTGATGACATTTATCAGTCGACTGAAGAAATATCCTGCAATCTTAAAAAGTTTCTGTTTTTTTATTGGTCGACTGATCAGTCGACTGATGAGGTCATTAGTCGACTGGCCATGCTTATCAGTTGACTAATAAGCTGCCGTTTGCCTACAACGATCAGCTCATCAGTCGACTGACATAACTCGTCAGTCGACTGATTTGTCCCAACGGCTATTTTTCTAGCCTTTTGTAGTTTTGTCTTTTTGCTGGATTTTCTTAGGTTTTGAGCTTTGGTTTTTCATCCTATATATACCCCTCACTATTTCAGTTCTGTAAAAAATTGAAAAGGGTTTTAAAAAGGAGTTTAAAGTGTTTTAAAGTTTGTTTAAGTTTCTAAGTTTGAGTTTACAAAGAGAGTTTAAAGTGTTTTAAAGTTTGTTTAAGTTTCTAAGTTTGAGTTTACAAAGAGGAGGCTTGCATTTTCAATTGAGGAATTCATCCTCAATCTTCTTCATCCTCTATTGTGTTTATAGAGAAGTTTTCTAACTCTTTTCTCTATTAATTTTATTATTGATTTTCATATTCTTATTATTGCTAGTTTGCTAATTGAGTTAGATTTTATTTATACTCATTTTATCATACACACCCTATTTGAGCTTTTAGTATTTCATACATCATATATTGGGTTATAGGATTGTGATATTGTGAGAGAGAGTTTACATTGTGTTCTCACCTATTGTAGAGAACAAATTCTTATATTTGAACATTATTTATGAGTTACACATTGTATTACACTTGTACACCGAGAGGAGTGGTTGGTGAGAGACGGGGTCGATTCCAATAGGAGTGGCATCAGTTGTAAAGTCTAGAGAGAGGTTGTAAATCCGAACACTTGAGGAAGAGGACACGGACTACGCCAACACTTAGAGGGTGTAGAGTGTGATTGCAAGTGTGTACTTGTAAAGTTTTCGGTGAGCTAGAAAACCGAGTTGTGAAGTGTAAACGTTATTCAGATGAGCATAAAAAACCCGATTGTGATAGTGGATTTCTCCCCGGGAGTAGGGAGCGGATACGTAGGACGGAAGGTCTGAACTCCGTGATCATCCTTGTGTGTTAGAGTTTGCATTGGTGTATCATTTGTGTCTATTGCTTGGTTTATTTTATTCGCCATTGCTCATTGTTTACATTGTTCTATCACATTTGTTTTTGCTTATTCTTGCTCATATCACATTGTATATCTATCTTGTAAGAATAATTTATTAATAAGTGTTAATCAGTATTAATATCTAATAAGATTAGTAATAACCCCATTCATCCCCCCTCTAGGGTGCTTTCATATGTGTCCTGTAGAGAAAATAGAGAAGGCAAAAGATCGTTATTCATTTAACTCCAACCTCTCTTAAATAAAGATTAGGAGGATATTACAAGATAGGTATGAGATAAAATCATATCTAATCACGTCTCACAATATCTTAACATATCATAATATCTATTAAATCTACTAATACCAAATTATCAACAATATCCAATAGTCCCCCTCAAGTTAGAGCATATATACTATATATACCTAGCTTGTTACAAATGGGAACAAAACAACTAATTGCAAGAGCTTCAGTAACGTCATCATTGTCTGAAATTCTTGAAGACGTCAATAATCAGAATATTGTAGTCACAACCAGTAGAAATCCTAATCGGGTAAGCAAGTAGAAGAAACTCTAAGCGGATCAGCCAGTAGAAACCCTAAGCGATCAGCTAGTAGAAATTCTAGGCGGTCAAGCAGTAAAAATCCTAAGCAGATAACTGCCAAAGAGTAGAATCGATATCGTTGACTATAACTGCCAAAGATGCTAAAGAGTGAATAATAACTCTGATTACTATTCATCACGTGCAGTAACCTTAGTACTATTCGTCGCGTGAACGGGACGCCAACCATTTTTATTCAGGTTATTTTGTGGAGGGTGTTTGATAAGATCTAAAAAACAATGACGTCGAAGTTGTTAATTTGGTGATGTTGTCGATGCCATCAAAGCTATCGAGGGGAGCATAAAGGCCATGCAAAAACCCCTTTGACAGCCTTGAGATCTAAAAAGATGGAATAAGTTCTATAGGACCAAGTTGACTTTGATATCATGTAGAGAAAATAAAAAAGGCAAAAGATCATTATTCATCTAACGCTAACCTCTCTTAAATAAAGATTAGGAGGATATTACAAAAGAGGTATGAAATTAAGTAATATCTAATCACGTCTCCCAATATCTTAACAACATATCATAATATCTACTAAATCTACTAATACCAAATTATCAATAATATTCTAACATGTCATATGGGAAATACACTGCCAAAATTTCATCTAAAAGATGCATAATATTAAGAATTATGCTAAACTTCACTTAAATCCAAAAATTATGTATAAATAAGGAATGGTAACATGCGCACTCTTAATAATATGTGTAACTTAAACATATAACATGAATATATTTCTCCTTAAATGCATAAAAGCAGGCATGATGAGGTGTCCAGGCAATACCAATACACCATCACAGACGAAATAAATCTGATCTACAGCATTGCCTTGTTCGATGATCACTTCTCCAGGGAGAAAAAACTCCTCTTGCAGCTTGATCACCTACAGAATCAGACCAAAGGTTATTAATTTGGACAGCAAATTGTTCTCGTGATGCTAGAATACATATTGACATCAGATAAGCTGAATAGCTATCCATGTAAACCAATATATTTTATCTCATTGGATTTTTATGTAAGAAAAACCAACAGTTTGGAAGAAGTTTAAAAAAAAAGTTATAGAAATTTATTAAGGATAAAGGAAAGGGCAATGGTTTTTATACAGTCAGAGTGGTCTCTTGAGTCTTGCTCTTGTGACCATCAGTTTCATTTAAAAGTCAAGTGAAAAGTGGGTTTTCATAGAAAACTGAGACCTAGAGTCCAAAGTAGATCAGGTCAATATAAAAGCGGCTCATTTTCTTTAGGATGGAATTGTGGATAAACTTACAATCTGATGAATAAATTCTGAAGAGCATCCTTTAAACAGAGGAACACTTGCAATGTAGGGTTTGTATAAGCTTTGTGAAATCTGCAAAAGAGAGCCAAATAGTTAAGCCACCTTGAAGTTAAGAAATCTAACGTAAAATACCATGAAGTGAAGCATAGAAAACAGTACACATCCAGAAATTATATGTTAGATCAGAAAATGAAAAGGTTTTGGGACTACTTTAATCTTTCAGTCGGAAGATACATTGTGACTATGTTTTTCGTGATATTTTCAGCAAGAAAAGTATTGGGTATTCTTAGTTCTTAAATTACTGCACATATTTCACTGACAAGGCAAATCGACTTTATTTGTTAGCAAGTCAAAAAAATTTAAAAATTTAAAAGTAAAAAAATTATAAAAATTATAAAAATTATAAAAATTAAAAAAGAAAGTAATAACACTAATCTTGAACTTTTTCACTCACCTTAGCACGAATTGACACCGGGATATCTTGAATAATAGAAGACTCTGTATAGTTGCTCTCATATTGTAAGCGCACATGTCCTTTAATCTGGTCTCGGATATCTCGGCCAAGTCTGTTCCTATTCATATATTTAATGAGATCTTTCATTTTATCCCTGAATCTTTCTGTTCTTGATCCTTTTACTATTAGTGCTGTCATGTTACCAATCAAGTAAGCTCCTAGAATCATATCAAAGGAAACATAAATCATGATGAATATCATTTCCCTGGTGTTGACCGCATGTATCTCTCCATAACCTGTGTCCAGAGAGAACTAAGCATCTTTAAAAAGAAACAATACATAGACCAAAAATTAGAAGATGGGAATAATTTTAACAAGTCATGGTACTAGAGTATCAAGAGCATAAAGGAAAACAGTTCTTTAAATATAAATTGTTTTAACATTAATGGAATGGTAAAAGAAAATCTACCTACAGTTGCCATGGTGACTATGGCAAAATATAATGACGTCAAGTAGCGCTTTCCAAGATCAATATCCCTGAAATGTGAATAGCTATAATCACCAAGCTTTAAGCTTCCAATCCAAGTGTAGCCCTCCATTGATTCAGGAAGAGTTGTTGCCAAGTAGTAGAAAATGCAGGCAGCCGTATGTGTGCAATAGAGCTCCACAACAATGAGTTTCACTATTCGTGTAAACAGATAGTTTATTCGTATATCCTTCTCCATCTTGCGGAAAAAATCTGTGACTTTCTGAACTCGGGTTAAACGAATCCATAATAGGTATCTCACTTCTTCCTTGTATCCGCATGCCTAATCCGAGTATAAACAAGAAAAGCTCTTAGATAGCTTTTTCATGTATTAATAATAACAGTCAAAAGGCAAAGATAACATATAAAGTTTCAAGACAAAAATTGAATGGCAATTCAACATTGCTTGAAATTTAAACAATTTATAATTGGAATCTTAAATTACTGACCATATGAAGTACAATTGTGATAAGGCAAAGGTACTTTAATATAACTAGTTGTTATCCCGGCCATGTGTAGGACCTAGTATTCAGTGGTGTTGCATATATTTTTTGGTAAATGGCTATCATCTAAAAAAGAACTTATTTTATCCACATATAGTAATATTATATTTCGAATAATTTATAGTTAATAAGTAAATGACGTTCACATTACGAGATGGAGCCTACCAACTGCCCCAATAAGCCAAAAGTTGTTCGGTTAGCGCATCAAGTATCAAGTATCACCCTTTCTCTACTGTACTAAATATACGCAATTGCAGTGCACAGTTATTAGGAACACGAAAAAGTAATTATCATGGTGGTTTTATGACTAAAACTAGAGTTCAAAGGAAATAACTTAAAAAACTAAGAAAGCTGCATATTGTCACTTATTATGCAACTAATATATATTAGGTAGTAAAAAGAAATACTTTGCCTTCATCAGACAGAAATCTACTTTGCTTAGGTAGTGATAAACCAGTGTTTAACAAGATTTAAATACAGACATATGGAAACCCAAGAAATGTTAGAGTGGGGAGAGAATTACCTTGTAAATAGCATCCCACGGTAAGCAAGCAAGCAAATCAATGATGAATCCAGACTTTACATATCTACACCGAAAGAAAAAAAAAAGAAAGAAAAAAAAAAGGTTCAGCAACCACAAAATCAAAATTCATATACAAGCATTAGAAATGAAAATGAGAAATTGAGAATAGAGTAGGAGACCTGAGAGCAATGGAAGTGGGCTTGTAGACCATTCTGTAGGTGTGATGGTCACGATAAGCGATGAAGAAATGGAGGGCGATGTCGATGAGGAAGGCAATCTGGCCGGCGATGTCAAGCCAGAAGAGCTTGCTAGGGAGTCCTCTGAAGAAGCCAAACTCAAGAGGAGTGAAGAAAGAGGAGTACACTGCCCATCCCAATATGAAGTGTTTCCAGAGCGTATACCACCTGCATCATCGACAATCATCATCACCCTCCTCATTCTAATTTTCCCCCGAACGCTAATTGCCTTGCTCTGCGGGGTTGAGTGGAAGAATCTGAATGGGATTTGAAATATTGAGGAGGTTTTCAGGTCACGGGGATAGTGGGCTGGCTGGCAAGGCCCAGTTACAAGTGATAGTTAATGGACCATCCACATATCGTCCCATAACTACTGTTAAATTATCCACATATCCCCCTATGGTCTGCTTAGTTTAAACTTTAAAGGCTTGCGGTTTGAATCGTTTGATATTGGTAGATAGACCTCAGTGTGAGATCTTTTTGAGTCTTTTACTACGTACGACGAGTAAGGCTCACCAAATTTCACTCAGAATAATATCTGCCAAAATTTCATCCAACTCATCTTGGGTCTATTTGCCAAGATGAAGATGTAAGGATAGACGATTTAAAACATTGACATGAGAGAGGGTATTTGATGTTAACCCTAACGCCTCGTTTCGTACGTGGGAATGGGGTGGAATGGAATGATCGTTCTCACTTCTCATTATCTGATACCAAATGTACATATTTCTTAAAAGTTGGAATGATCATTCTTACTTTTTGTGAGAATGAACATTCCAAGTGAATTGATAAGGAATGATCATTCCCATTCAACTAAGAATCAAATTAGTTACGTAATTTTCAATTATACCCCTATTGATAATTTATCAAATGAGTTAATTTTGATATCTAGAACTGTGGATTGTGGATATCATTCTTTATATTATTTTTGGACATATGAAAGATGCGATACTTTTTTTTTAAAGACTAAGAAATAGTGAGGATTGTTTAAAAAATATAAACGGAACATACACCTGAGAGATAACATGTGCATTAGTATAAAACATAGCTAGATTAATATAACCTACTCATAAATAAAATTGTTTAATTATTATCATTAATGTTTATTTTTATCTTATTAAAAATCTATGTTGTTGTAAGGACATTATTAGAAAATATGATTTCATTCTCACTTGTGAACTAGTGATATCAAACATGGGAATGAGAATGAGATTTTCATTCTAGCTTCATTCTACAAGCGCACCCAATAAGGGTGCATTCGGTCCGGATACGGCTCGGATATGATGCTTATCATATCCATATCCGCTTACCCATCTCGGATACGGATACGGATACGGATATCCCTCGGTAAGAAAAATTTATAACCATATCCGCTAAAATCGGATACGGTTACGGATATACATGCGGATATACAAGCGGATATGCATGCAGATATAAAACAGATATGAGAAAACTAGATAGTATTGAGAAAAACATAGTTCATGTGATGCAAAAGAGTTTGTTAATATGTCCATTATAATTGAAAAGTTAAGATTAGACAACTTGATCATCAAAATTAACCACAAATCCATAATCTAAGAATCGAAACTATCATAAGAGTATGACTAATATGTATTCGGATATTTCGGATACGGATACGGATATTTCACTACAAAACCATATCCGTAACCATATCCTATCGGTTATAGATTTAAGTAACCATATTCGTATCCTAACGGATACGGTTACGGATATTTTCTCGGATACGGATACGGTTTAGCACCCCTAGCACCCAAACAAGGGAGTGAGAATGACCATTCCATTCTCACATGCATTTCATTTCATTCCTTCTTCCATTCTATTCTCATTTGAGTCTATTCTCGCGTACCAAACGAAGTGTAAGGGCTAGTCTAGTACCAAGGGTCAAGGGGGTTAAACTTTCTCCTGGTAAACTTTTTCTTAACTTTAACCATATTTATTAACATGTTAAAATTTCATCAATGTTAAACGTTTAGCTACATATGAGGATAAGCTTTAACCAAATGAACTGGTAGGATAAAAAGGAGGAAATTTTAGGCTTGAATCATTTAACCATGTGCAATTATACATAACCCAAAAAAAATTTTAAAACTTACTAAAAAGCCCTAAAGTAAATATACAACCCTTGTAAATAGAAAATTACAAAAAAGCCCTAACAATTTCAAAACTACAAAAAAAAACCCTCAAATTTTATAATTTTGTAAAAACATCCAAAAAATTCAAACATACAAATAGCACTATAAAATTCAAACCGTACAAGAAGTTCCCCTAAAAATTTTCAAATTTACAGAAAACATCTTGAAATTTTGAAAATTACAAACAAACACCCTCAAAAATCAAATTCAAAAATATAAGCTGAAAATTTCAAATCTAAAACAGTATAATAAAAATCAGAGAAATACAAACCACCCTAAAAGTTTTGGAATTTACAGAAAACACCCAAAAATTTTAAAAACTTGCAAAAAACACCACAAAAACTATAAATTAAAAAAAAACTAAAATATTCAAACCTAAAACAATAAACTGAAATTTTAGAATTACTGATATCCCCTAAAAATAGTACATTGAAAAACTTAGAATTACTGATATCCCCTAAAAATTTTGGGAATTGCATAAAAACCTTAAAACTTTTAAAAGCTTACAAAAAACACACATAAAAATTCAAAATTTGCAAAAAGAGCCTAAAAACATCAAACCAAGAATAGTACAATGAAAAATATAAAAATTACAAGTAACACCCTATAAATTTTTATTTGCAAAAAACAACCTAAAACTTTCAAAAGTTGCAAAAAACCCTAAAAATCAACAGTTTCTAGGAACTCCTTACAAATTTTTAACCTACAACAGTAAATTAAAAATCTAGGATTACAAACAGCCCATTGAAAATTTTAGAATTTGAAATGAAAACAACCTAAAACTTCCAAAAATTACAAAATACACACTATTTTTTTTTACAAGAAACAACCTGAAAAGACAAAAAATTATAGAGATGTGTTTTCTTATAATTTCAATTCTTAGATTTTACAGTGTACTGCCCTTGGTTTGATGTTTTTAGGCTCTTTTTGCAAAATTTAAATTTTTGAGGGTGCTTTTTGTAAGTTTTAAAAATTTTAAGGTTTTTATGAAAATACCAAAAAAATTAGGGGGGTATTTGTAATTCCAAGTTTTTCAATGTACTATTTATAGATTCCAGATATTTACATATTCTAAATTTACAGTTTTAGAGTCTTTTCTGCAAATTTTAAAATTTTTGAGAGGGCTATTTGTAATTCTAGTTTTCAATTTACTATATGTAGGTTTGAAGATTTTTCTATAGGTTTTATATTTTTGAGGGTATATTTTTGGAACTTTTAAAAATTTTGGGTGTTTTTTTACAAATTTAAAAATAATTAAGGAGCTGTTTGCAATTCTCAGATTTTTTGTGCATTGCATTTGTTTTGAAAATTTTAGTCTTTTTTTGTAAATGTTTAATTTTCAAGTTTTTTTTGTAATTTTTAAAAGTTTCAGGCTATTTTCTACAAATCCTAATCTTTTTAGGGGGCTGTTATAAGGTTTGAAATTTTAGCGTTATGATGGTGGTTTTGTAGATCTATTTTGGATATTTTGGCTTGAGGGTAGAAAGGTCTGTCTGATGTTAAGTTTTATTCTTATTGAAAGTTTATACCAAACATAAGAATGTTTTCCCTGATAATATTTTTAAAGTAATAACTACCATGTTAAAGTTTAACCCTGATTTCTTTAACTTCATAACAAACTAACCTTTAGGGCTAAAACTTTCAAAACTTTTAATGTGATAACTAATATCCAAGAAAAGTTAGCATGGGAAACATTCATGTGTTTGGTATAACCTATATTAGAAAAAAGATAAAGTTACCTTAAACCAATGTCTTCCACTGTCAATGTAAAAATTCAAAGTATACAAAAACACCTTGGAAAGTTCAAAACTTACAAATAACACTGAAAATTTCAAACATGTAAAACGAACCCCTTGGTGAAAGTTTAATTACCATCTCATTTTCGGTTAAGCAATATAAAATGTCAAAAGATAGAGCATTGACGAGTTTCTCCTTGCTTCGATGACTAGCATGATAAATTAAATGCTAGATCCTCTACATAGCTCATTTAGTAAATTAATTTTTTTACTTGGTACAATTATTTCTCATGTGACAAATCCGCGCGAGTCTATTCATATTTAAAAGTATACCCAGTTTTCTAAACTAGTTTGTCAACATTTATCATGAACTGTTTGAAATCATGATTATATTTCCATCTCACGGAAAAAAAGAAGTTATGATTATAAGGTTCAATGTAAAATAATCACTTTTTCATGCAGAGTATTTAGTATCTGATGTCGGGTCGCGTCGAATCTATGAGAGCTCCTTGGCCAAAGGCCAAAAACCTCTCCCTAACAATTGTTACAGCCTCAAAAATTCCGGATCAATTCTATTCATATTAATATAGTTTCTGTGCAAATTGCAATATTATTTAGAGCCGAACAATATATATATTATATATTTATATATATATATATATATTATTATATATATTATATATATATATAATATATATATATATATATTGATGGCGAGAGAGTCATTGTTGAAGATAATATCTGTAATTTATAAAAATATATACTAGCCAACATCATAAGTTTCAAAATATAGGGGGGCGAAATGTGGGGCCAAAAAAAAAAAAAAACACACAAACTGTCCTGCAGAGTAAGAGTGAAAGAATAACGTCTTCCCAAATTATCCCTACCGGATCCAAGCCAAAAGAAGTATCCATATCCTCCCGTCATCGACCGAAAACAATCTAAAAACAACAAAAAGTTCCAGAAATGGAATAAAAAAGAAAAAAGAAAAATATCATACTGGTGGTCGGATGGATGACCTAGCGGTCAAAATACCGGTCGCGGCTGCCTCGCTAGTAAATCGCCTGGTGCGAACTCTCTGGCGAAGAGGGCCGAACATGCTGCCACGTGTCGACTTTATCCGATCATCCATCTCCTCCACCTCGTACTCCTCCAACCCCCCCTGATCCGAATCCGACTTCGACCCATGATGATTCGTCATCGATCGGTGACCGCAACACGCTAACCTAGAACAAAATAGGAGGTGACGCGGATCAGACTTAGGGAGAGAGGGAGAGAATGAAGAGGGAGTGGGTTATATAACGACTAGAAATGGGGCGCTTCCCCTTTTTAAAAAGGTTTGTCTTGG